CAATACGTAGATTCGGTATAACCGTTGGTGCTACCTGGTATACGCTCCTGTTAGTATGCGCTTACTTCTCTTATACTTCTACTCGGTTTGATCCTTGGGGACAAGGATATAGGGTCATTCCTTTCTTGGCCGTATGCATGGAACGTCCACATCAGAATTCGTTGCTGAGAAGCCTGTACAGGCCAAGTTTTACCCCAACATTTTAAGATTGCAGGGTGGACTACAAACTTGGACGCGGCAGACACGATTACAGAGGTAATGTAAATCTAAAGTCATCGATCTGCTATTGGTAGATCTTTGACCACTTTTTCTTCGGGTCGCGTACCCTCTCAGTCATCATCTACCCCTGTCGCATACAACTCCACCACTGCTATGGTTTATATGCATGTCGTCTGTAGCGTAGTACGTTACCTGCGACAAAGTATGCGCTATAAAAGCCTTCGAAAGTTGTAAATCTCGGTTTAAACCCTCCCGTCCGAGTCCCTGGTAGTCTTAATCAGAGCCATTCTACATGTTCGGCGTCGCCTCAACTGCCCCAACCGGTGTCTTGTCAAAACTAGAGTCAGAAACCCTTAACTGCGGCATAGGCGGAGGATCCAATGCCAATTTTGCGCTCCGCATCGCGTCCATTTTTATCATTGGTTTTGGATCATTTTTTGGTGCCTTTCTGCCTCTGTTAGCCAAGAGGGTTTCTTGGCTGAGGATTCCAGGGGCATTTTTTGAGTGAGTTTTTGAACTTTGATATGATTAACACTTCATTATTGTTTGTAGCTTTGTGAAATATTTTGGTTCGGGAGTCATCGTAAATACTTTTTCTCAAATCATTTATCCCATCTACCTTCTGACGTTTTCTTCACTGCCACTTATAGATTGCGACCGCCTTCATTCACCTCCTCGCTCCGGCTATCGAAGCGTTAGAATCTGAATGCCTTACCGAAGCGTGGCATGAATATGTATGTTATCTCGCTCTATTCCTTCGAAAATTCTCTTCTCCATCATATCAACCCAAACCTGAAACTGATATTTATTTATTTTCTCAGCCCTACGCCCTTGTACTCTGCATTCTCAGCTTATTCTGCATATTCATTCTCGAGCTTATGGCTTTCCGCTGGGGCAATGCCAAACTCGCTGCAGTTGGCGCTCAAAGACAATATAATTCCTATAGGCATAGTAGTGATACTGCGGCGCGTACGTATGTTAATCACGGATCCGAAGAGCCCAGAATGTTGACGGGTTTGCTAACACCAACCTCGATGGAAAACGTAGACTCGAACAGTGAGGCTGCCCAAGAGATGAGTATAGTGGCCAGCATGAGTAGGTCGGTAGATGAAGAAAGCGGTAGTACCAGTGCTATTGGAATGACCCCACCTGTTAAAGTGCATTCTCCCTTGACTGACTCGGCTTGGAAGCGAATTATTGGTATTGCGGTGTTGGAGTTTGGGATTGTATTCCATAGGCAAGTAGAATCAGCTTTTTGCTACTTCTACAATTGACCTATGAGGACTAGTGTTCTTATCGGTCTCACTCTAGCCGTTGACGAAAATTTTCACGTTTTGTTTGTCGTACTCATCTTTCATCGTATGTTTCTATGCTTCTAGCTTGATCCAATCCGACGGTGGTTAATCTCTTAAGTAGAAACTTTTGAAGGCCTCGGCATAGGTTCTCGACTCGCATTCATAACCTTTCCTGGTCGTCCTTCTTACGAAAGATGGATACCCATTCTCGGTGCAGTCATCTACGGAATATGTACTCCTGTCGGGATTGCGGTCGGCCTCGGGGTCCGCACCACATACAATCCAGGAAGCACTACAGCATCTATCGTGAGCGGCATAATGGATGCCTTGAGTGCAGGAATCTTAATTTATAGCGGCCTAGTTGAGGTGCGTCCCTGGTGGCATTGCAATACTGCTTCCGAGTCCCGTTTTAACCTCGTATTCAATGACGTTGATTTCGGTAGCTTCTGGCACACGACTTTCTATTCAATGAAGATATGATGAACGCTTCAAAGGATAAGTTGCTGTGTGCACTCGGGTCTATGCTGCTTGGATGTGCGATTATGGCACTCTTGGGCCGATGGGTTTGAGATGTTTGACATCTTATCTGATGGAATGGAATAGAATACCGTTATATTACTGTACTAGTACTTTTCGTATTATTATAGGGACTATACATAAATGAGATTGGCTGCATAAATCGTTATACTCAAGATATTTCTGAGCGAGCAAGGGCTTCCTGCATCACTTCATCTCGCGCTAATTGGATGATAGCTTCTGCATCCTGTGACCGCGGAGTGGCAATGACTTTGAATGGCGGTGGACGGCTGCAAAGGTGGGGATTAGCATTATACCTTGATAGGGTAATGATTTGGAAACTTACTTGAAAATCCCATTTGAGTCTTCTGCGTTGACATCCGGCTTTAGTGGATTTCCGTTGTTATCTAGTGGCGCTTCAAGTCGCAGCGTCCACAAAATCATTGCGATTTGAATATATAATCCATTATTGGCAACGTGACGGCCGGCACAGATTCTAAGAAGGGGGTTGGCTATGAGTATAAACTTTGACTCTCAACGTCAGCACAAACCGTTGACCAAAACCATAAGTAGAGTGTCCTTCACTAGTTTCGTCTTTCAGGTGACCGTGCTCGTCGAGATGCCTTTCTGGACGAAAGCCATCTGCATCGGAACCATAAACATCGGGATCACGGTTTATAGCCCTGAATATGTACAATGATATAGAGTAGTTCCTACAGACCAACAGATGTTAAGACGCACCATGTACAAGGAATACAAATTGTTCCTTTTGGGATAAAGTATCCCTCGTAATAATCGTCCTGACCAGAATTCAATATCTTCAATTTAAGATAACGCAAACAGAACCTACTTCGGTCGGGATATGAGGTACCCCAGTTGGAACCGCAGGTCTCCATCTTAGTATCTAGAGCAACATGATTAAGTTTGGTTTCATAAGGAATGCAAAGGGACACACTTCTTTGACAATGGCTTGTATGTACGGTAAATGTTTGATGTCAGCAAAAGATGGAAGCCTCGAACGGCCAACAACTCTGTCCAGTTCTTCTTGAGCCTGGGCCTGAACGTCAGGGAACTGTATCATGCTGAACATGAACCACGTCATAGTGGTCGCGGTCTGTATAAAGTTCGAGTCAGGTTTGAGGAGACTGCGTGGAGTATACTCACCGTTTCATGGCCAGCAGAGCTGCCCAAAATATGATGAATCAGCACTGGTTGTACTTGATAAGGAATGAAACCTACTAAAGCGCTCCAGCAAGCCATGCACAATCTTGGTCTGGCATCTTGTGCTGTTTCTGGTTTTCCGCAAGACTCAACGAGAAACTGGGACGTTGCTCGTTACCTTTTTCCTGTTTTCAGGTGGATCGGACTCTAAAGGTAAAGTAGAAACAACTGTAACTTACTGCTTCATTTTTAACCTTTAGAAAGAGCTTTTCAAATCTGTCATCGTACTTCTCAAAATCCTTCTCTGCATCCCGTTTCCACTTTGCTAGAAATTTCGGAAGATACTCCAAAATCGGGAACACGTCCACCAAGAAATTGCCGGGCATTGCTACTTGGCCTATGTGTTCGACATAGTTATTCATGAAAATAACAGTGGGATCATCAAGCGATTGGAGGGGAGGCAGATCGTATACCAAAGATAAGGCAATTGAGGATGACGTTCTGTAATATGGTCAGCTTGTGACTACCCTAAATAAATTTATTGAGAAACCTTTCGACTTGTGAAAGCCAGGTGTCGGGTCGATTCAATATGCCATGGGCTAGTATGATGCTTTCGTTGGTTTGTGTTCGATGATATTTACTTGAGATCCTGGCACCCAAAGCGTGGTCGCTGGCGCGGCGCATTTTTCGCCATCTGGGTCTGCGTTAGCCTAATCAGTTATCCGAAATATATGTTACTTACCTCTCTCCAGCACGCATAAATGCAATATTGGAGTCGCCAGTGACTTTCTCCAACATAATGAATCGATGGCGATCAATATATTTAGCTGATCGACGTTCGAACAAATCATCGACGACTTTCTTTGAGTTGAGGATAACAATAGACTGTCCCGCTACGTTGAGATAGATCATAGGACCTGCAACGTAATATACTCAGTATTTCAGAAAAGCAGAAAATAAAAATATAGCCATGCCATATAGATCCTTCCACTTTACAAAAGTATGCCATGGATTCACGGTATCAAGTTGAAAAACGTTTCCAAGAATGGGGATTCCACGAGGTCCCGGGGGATAGTGGCCAGAATTAGACTTTTTGAAGAATCGTAACACTGCAAGAAATGCAAATGCAAGAGCTAAAATCTGCCAAAACATTTTTGGGTCGGGAAGTAGGTGGTGGTTTTGATCGAACGACCATGTTGCTACTGTCTTATAAAGACGCATCGGATGCTTTAGTACACCGGTGGCAAGAGGGCTCTCCATCTAAACCAGCTCTGATTTGGGGCCTAGGGTGAAACGGCATTTGCATATATGGCTCATCTCCGCAGGGCAAAACATTCAAATGCTGAGTTTCGTCAAACCCCGGAGTCGATGATCAGTACAAGCGCTTGCCGGGGAAATTCAAATCGAGGCTTCTAGCGTACGTCTCGCCCTCGTTGACAACATGCTGCTGCCCTCATTTTACGCAAGCTAACATAAACGACATTGGTAGAGGATCATGAGACAGAATAAAGACCTTGGTCGGTCACAAATTCCGGCATTGGTATTGCTTACTCAACAGACGGCTTCGGAGTTTTATCCAGCTCATAACGGAAGCTCCTGGTGCCTGGTTATCAGACCAGCAGGACTTTTTGACTCTTTGAGGAAAACGGTATAAACAATAGTGCGAGCATCTGTCAGAACAATTCATTCCCCGTTCCCATACCGGGCCGCACTGCTCAGCATTGTGGCGCATAAGTTTTGTCTACTTGAGGCTGTATCGGAATATTGGAGTAAAGCCGATACAAAAGAAAACATGTGACGTTAGGTTGTGGGCGTTTAGCGCAGTGGTAGCGCGTATGCTTTGCATCTAGCAGCTTTTGTATAAGGTCCAGGGTTCAATCCCCTGAACGTCCAAATTTTTCGATTTTACTTGGTGGATATGTTATGGCCAGACTCAGTCATAGTAAGTAATCCAAACTGGAAACAAAGAAAAGAAGTATCACCGAGTGCTTCCCAGTCGAAACAAATGCTTGATTCCCCGACCGATTTTATTTCACCGACACAAAGCCACAAACTCCGCAGAGGCTGGACTCAATTGATTAAAAATGCGAAACAGAGTACAGTATCCTGCGTCACGGAACAGGGCGAATACCTATGTCAATTCGCTTATCCGCTCCATTCTGAGTGGAGAATGTACTGGTTGTTCGACCGGGTAATTTATCTAAGTGTCTATGTTTATCATTGATTGCGTTCATGTATCAGATCTGAGGTATGAGGATTTTGGGCATGGAGGTACACTTAATTTTGACTAAAGCTGCCCGCATATATTCACAAGCGTTAAAACGCTACAAGTCAGTATGCTACGCTCCTCCGACCAATCCAGTCAAGCTAGTATACTTCATTGCACCTCAGGCTGTTCAAAAGTACTAGATAAACTAAATCTCATAAGAGAATAATACAAAAGTACTGCAGTGGAAATTATCTGGCTTAAAGCTTTAGACATGAATTTATATCATACTCAGCTAAACCTTTAGGCTTAAGTTGATACTCTTAGACTACTATTAAAAGGCTTGTTTCTCGGAGGACATTCAGTGTCAATATACTTTTTCCTTTGGGAGTTTGTTACTCTTACTTATTCTGAAATTCAAATTGCCGAATGTATATTCACAAACGGATCCTGGGGCTACTCTCCAACCATGAAAATTATGTATGTATTTCTTTATACTCGGGATTAAAAAAACTGCCCTAACCCAAATCAGAAGCAGAATTCACCATCCCGTTGACAGCTACACAACATAGTATATGAATGAGTATCACTCTTTAAACCTGGAGTCACAAGTAACTTACGAAGGTGGCTGGTTGGTGGGGATGTCACAACAATGGAAACCATCTGGGCCTAAAAATTAATTAGTACACTCCATGGGATCTGTATGGCACTTGACTTACACCTAGGCTTTTATCAAGAAATTAGGGTGTGGTGAGCAGGTACGTGAGTCAGTTTAAAAGATGTACATACCTCATAATCTTTGCCTATACATAATTTTAAGATAAGCAAGTCTGTAGCTCAGAGACAGTTCTACCCCATACTTACAAAGAATCACTTCAACTTGACGTGCCGCGAGAGGCTCAGCAACAACGGAGGTGCTCACTAGGAGAAGAGCGAAAGCAAGAGCAGATTTGAAGTACATGTTAGCTCAGTAAAACACTGGGATGAAGAAAAAGAATAGTCACTGAGCTTTCATTTTATAGACGCGAAAGGTCTTGTGAATGACATTGTTATACTAGTCCATGAGACCTAAATAGCGTTCGGATCACAACAAGAGAAGTCTAGTAGTGTAGTTCTTTATCACTTTTATTGTACATAGGGAAAAATGTCTTGGCTCCTTGTCTCCTTGCCATGGAGTTTACACGATGAATACGGGCCTGCTGCTTTAAGCCGTACACGGTATAGTCAATCCCGACCACTTACGGCAACGGCCTATATCCCGTTGAGAACTATCTTTCAGGGGTAAGCTCAGAGCTGGACGTCTGGACCCTGACGAGGACTAGCTGGAAAAATCTATTTACTTCCTGTATTAAATAAAAAGATAAAGATCTTCATCGAGGGTTCGAGGGACCTGCTTGGACTTGTGTAGCCAATAGCCAAGGAGCAAGAATTTCCATATTTCCTCCCGTTCCCAAGTTGGCAGCATTGCTTCTGCAACAATGTATTTACTTAATTTTTAGAGCATTCCGGAAAAGGTCTATGACAGAAAGTTTATATATTATGCAAGATCTAGAGCAACTTCACCCTTGTGAGTTTCCGACATCGAAAAATGGAAGTCTTTCCTAGCTAAAACAAACCTCGGTTTAGCGAAAAACGAATACAGCAAAGAGGCGAACCCTGGCGAACCCTTTCCCCGGCCACTCCTGCAAGATATTCGCCAGTCCTGTGAGAAAAGGTTAACCCTCTGAAATTGGTTCCGCTTACACCGTTACAGTGCTTACGCCCCGGGCAAATGAGTCGAGAATAGGAGAGTATGTAACCCAAGATCACACGAGGTGTATATGTCTAACCCGAAGTGAACCAGCTTCGAAGCCTACCAGAGCACGTTGCGTCGACGTGCTGATTTTGACATACCTGTGAACTTTGCGTGCCGTAGAATCATGGTTGGATTTCAGGGAGCGAGTAGCCTGAGGAGAATTAGATATCATGTGAGTACTTAACAGGCGTCTTATCTGTATGGGCCACGCTATATACAGGTGCCCAAGCTACGAGAAGACTGCCGGTAGATCCATATCGACCAAGTAGATTTGGGTGTAGGCGAGCCCGCTTCATTCGGATCTAGAAGGCAATTAAATACAGAAGGTCAGATGTGCCAGTAGTAACGGTCCTGCCCGTTGGAGTTGACGGATCACAATTTCTAGGCTGGAGTAGAAGGAGTAGATATATGATGACGAAATACTAGTGTCAGAACAAGAAAAATTCAACATGAACGACGTCATATTGTTATCTATATGCGTGTAGACTGTCAGCGCTGCATAGTCATAGCCTGGAGTTGCCATCTTCAATCTTGGAGCTATATCTGCCTGCAAGTACGCAGTAGGGATGCAATGGATCATAGGCCCAAGAGTCTCGCCTTAGGACAACGAAAAAAAAAAAAACTCCAAGACAGCCTTAGACTTTAAAGCATGAAACAATACAGAAGAACAGAGCATGTTGATCAGTGGTCGTAGTCGCACACCGGTTTTGCACTCATGCAACCCGCTAAGGACCTGCCCGCTTTTCAGTTCTGATGTGATTTTGACATCACGAAGAACAGGCGAAAAGGTTAGATGGGTAGACGCATTGTACTATTTCATATGCACAAAAAGATGCGGCTACAAAGCGTTAGGGCAGACATGAAAATTGGCGCAAGAGCTGACGATGCACAGGAAGAGTCCTTACACATACCAAACTGCAAATTATAGCACACTATTATTATGAGTTGCTTATGTCATATTATGTCAACACCGGGCCGACGATAGGCTAAACCCGGTCCGCGTGCGGAATTAAAATTATCTGGGAATCTGGACATCGATTTCTTGCATGTAAACCGACATAAAACCGACTAAGTACTTAGACTAATAGTTCAGCTCGACCATTAGGAACTCGGTGTCTGATATTTAACTTTTCTTCCGAACTTGGGGCTGGTAATTCTTAGAATAAGACTCAAGGCTAAGGTTCAAATAATTCATGATTCAGTTTATATTCAACTTTCACATATCATCAAAAAGCAACTGCTATCGTTCTTCAATCATCCAAATATTATAACAGCCTCAAGCATGTGGTTCTCGGTACGAAAAATTGCCCAACCGCCATCGGTACTTGATTCAGATTAAAGGCAGAATGTGCCCTCTGGTACGCAGCTATGGATTCAAGAACAGGTTAGACGACTGTAATCCAAGCGGCAAGCAACTTACAATGGGGTAGGAGTTGTTGGCAAGTCACAGCAATGGAAACCATCTGGGCCTGAAATTTGAATACGGATCAGCATACTTGGTTGAACCTATGTGCAAATTGTAACTTACACCTTGGCTATAATTCATGTAGTCGGGTAATGGTGAGTAGATCCGTGGATTAGTCTAAACAATACCACTTACTTCAGTGGCCTTGCCTATATGGTGAAAGGATAATAAGTTTCCAGTTGGAATGATGCGATTTGGTCTTGAACTTACAAGGAGTTCCTTCTTGGCGGGCTGCAAGAGGCTCGGCAACAACAGAAGTGGTCACTAGGAGCAGAGCAAAAGCGAGAGCAGAGTTGATAGCTTTGAAGTACATGTTGGCTCAATGAGGTGCTGGGATAAGGAAAACCGGTATACTCCAGCTTTCATTTTATGCTCCTTGAGTGAATGGATGTGAAAGGACCTCTGATAAATGACGTCCAGTATACTGTAATTCGTAGAATCGACAGCGCGCTCGATATTCGGATGATCACGAGAAAAGCCTAATAGCCTAGTCCTCAGTACTCAGTCGCCGTTATTAGACATAAAATGGGTAAAGTGTCTTAAGCTCCGAAAATATCTCGTCTTCCCGCCTTGGTGTTTACGCGATGAATACGGACCCGCTGCAGCCTGTGCACGGCATAGTGATGAATCCCGACCACTTACGACAATAACATGTATCCAATTGAGAACCGAAACAGATCTTTAGAGGCCAAGCAGGCCGCCTGAGCCCGTGGCGGGGATTACCTAGAGAATATATTCACTTTCTGTATTGAAAAGACAAAAATCTTACCTCTTTTTACGGTTTTGAGGCGCTTGAGACCTGCGTAGTCAATTGTAGCACGAATCTAGAATGATCGTTTTGTACAATACATACTGAGGAATAAGAATCTCCATACCTCTTCCCGTTTCAAAATTGAAAGAGTCGCTCTGTGTATCTAAGCATCTAGGCTATTATGGTGGTGTTATTTGAATAACATAGAAGGATTTCGTATCGTGAAAAGCTTGGCAGACCCAAATCTTCATAAATTTAGCGACCTACACACATTACAGGTTTAGTACTTTTTGACAAAAAAGTAAAAGATGGCACGGCAAATGCAACAGAGGGGAGTCGAACCCCTTTCCCGGCCAACGAAGTAGATGGGAAGACCGGATCATAACCGTTAGACCACTGTTGCCTGCGGTGAAGTAGACTGACTTCAAATTCATTGTAGCGCCAAGTGTTTGAACGCCCTTGAACTCCGGCCTTGCTGCTTTGCTTTTGGACTCAAAACCACCCAGACCCGGTCAAGTCTTGGTGAACACATATCGCTATCATCAGAGGAGACGACCTGTTCTACAGGACTCAAAGGCTACTTCTGCTCTTATGATGGGGAGAGAACATGACCCCGAAAGCACAAGTCTTCAGAATTCCAGACCGGTTGGTATATTATGTACACAGATGTTCCTAT